CCACCACACCGCCACACTGCCTCACCACACCCCCATATGTCACCCACACCGTGCCATACTGCCTCAACCACACCGCCACCTGCTCACCACACCGCCCATTGTCACACCACACACACGCACGCTGTCACACCACACCGCCACATTGTCCACCACACCGCCACACTGCCTCACACACCCCATACTGTCACACCACACCGCCATACTGTCACACCAACACCGCCATACTGCCACACCACACCGCAACACTGTCCCACTACACCGCCACACTGTCACACCCACACCGCCACACTCGTCACACCACACCGCCACACTGCCACACCACACCGCCACACTGTCACACCACACCGCCACACTGTCACACCACACCGCCCCACACTGCCTCACCACACCACACGCCACACTGTCACCACCACACTCCACAAACACTGTCCAACCATACCGCCACACCGTCCACACAACACGCCACCTGCCACACCACACCGCCCACGCTGCAACGCGGCTCTCGCATCGACGGTCATCAGGGAGCGGGCCAAGGTCACGGTCGTGTCTGCGGTAACCCGACTGCGCGCTGGACGGACGTGTCTGCGGAGAAGACTGGTAGAGAGAGCCGCGAGCGGCGGAGGGGAAGCAGGACAAAAGACCCGGGACCGCTCACGGACGCGGCGTTGACTTCACGTCCGATGGTCCAAAGCACAGATCAATAGGTGTAGGCAGAAGGTAGCAACCGCGCCTGAGTTGTCAGTGTATGACCATGAATAAATGCGTGGGCTATTTGGTAATATCATAAATTGACTCGGAAACCGCAGCTTAGTATTTAGAATTCTGGAACATTACTTGTGGCGTCGAGTACCTTGTGGGTGGAGGTAGTGTTAAGGTTTGCTGTGTGTACTTGAATCTTGCATTTGCATTATTTAAAAGTATTATCTCGATTGATTTACGTGGGTGGATCTGGGTTCACAGCAGTTGCTAAGCAGGGACCGTTGCTCACGCCCCGAACCCACCACCCAAGATAAGCCCAAGCGGTTCCTCCGATAAGTTCGGCTGCTGCCAGGCAGCCGCGGGGGAAGTTTACGTACCGTGCATGTAGTGCAATGACACGGCCGTCCAGGGGCAGGCTGGTCTCTGTGGCCCGTTACGAGCCGACCTTTCCGTGTCAGTTGGGCTTAACGATGCACCGGCTCTGAGATCCAGCGGCGCTGGCTCCCGCTCAGTGGCACCCACTGCCGCTGAGTGCCGCTCAGGTGGCAACTAATGCCGCTGGATATTAAGGATCCCTCACCTCTCCTCTGAGCCGCGAAGCCGATTGCTGTTTCACATAAGACACTGTACCGCATGTGGGGTTTAGAGGTTGAGGCTGGGGTGATGTGGCAGGCTTCTGTGGGCTGGTTCAAGCTTGGTAGAGGTGGGGCAGCCTCCATCCGAGAATTCCGAACGTCATCGCACTCCCATGAGTGCCGGGACTTGGTAGCTGTTAAATCAGATCATGCGCCAGATATTGCCGATGGCGATGCTTATTTAGGGTGGCGCACGCACGCACACGTTCACACGCGTCCACATACGACCACACACGCATGCACACGGTCACACAAGCATGCACACGTACCTCAAATTCTTCTCGATGTTGCCGCAACGAAAGGCACATATATGCGTGTCATTATTTTTTATTTTTAAAAACTATCCACCGTGGCGTATTCATGAACACTGCCGAGTGGATCACGCGCCGCATCGACGACGAAAATGCGCTGCCGTTGTTTTCATTGACCTCAGTGGCGCCTCCGACAACGTTAATAATGATCCTGTACGTATAATGATTAAGATGAAATGGTACGATGTTGACCCCAGATGGTTTGAGAGCTACATTTTAGATGGGTGGCAGGTGGCAGCACGTAAGGAGACGCAGTTCCTTATCCCTGACGCTATCCCCTGTGTTCTCCAGGGGACCTCGATCGGCACAATCTCCTTCAGCATCCTCACAAATCATATTCCTCACCATCTACTTCAAGGACGCCCAGCGTCCTTCGCCGAAGATGTCCACCTGTTAGGCTCCGCTCGTCCTTGCGATAAAATCGTCGCAAAATGACGACAGGAGGATATCCCCGTCAATCTCCAATTCAGCTGCACATTAACTCAATGAAAATGTACCCAAAGAAGCCAATCCTACTCTTGCTCGGCACTGCCTTGAACTTCAAGAAAGCTACACCCGTATATCTTAATATATTTGGTCACGAATTAACGCCGTCCCTCTTTTTGAAAACGCTAGTGCCGGCGGCCAGACATTTCCTTTCCTAAGACGAACACATCATAAACGTGACCAAACAACGGTGCCTAAGGGCCGAACACTGTAAAATCCTAGTTCATTGCCACATCTCACCACACATCTTCTGGCCGACCGTGGGGAGCCGGGTTGACACGGTGCGCGTGACCTGGTCCCCCACCGTGACATCATCGGGATGTTCAGGTCGCTGGGAGACCGGCCTGCCCCCGGGTCGATCCCCTCGTTGTTCTATACGCGTGCTGCTGCGTCGTAGCGCACCAGTTGGTCGACGTGTGCAGGCGTGCTGGAGCTGCCAGCCTTTCGCCTGTCGGCGCGCCGCGTGTTTTCTTTCCATTCAGTCTCATCCTGGAACCTACCAACGGCGGATCCCGAGCAAGGAACACATTCACCAGCAGTTAAACCGCGCTGTGTGAAGCCGTATCGTGTGGTGTCCAATAATCGCATGAGTTTTTGCTGCTTATGTCATCAATTTGCATTTTCTGCTAGGTTTTATTTTACTGTAATGCGACTGGAAGCAAATGACAAATCATCAGTAATATCAGTGATATCGTTATCCAGGACTGAATGGTTGATATATGCGAGTAATGCCTCCTTTTCATTTCCACGGTAACCACAACAGATATTGGGAGCACTGCAGCCTTCCTCCCCACATTTTCCCACAAAGTCGCCACCATGGACCGTGCCTTTTTGCCAGCCATGGACGGGGGCTGGCACGCCCCATTTGTAAGAATCTGCGCCAGCGGAGGTGGCCCATTTTTCATCGCAACGGTGATAGCGGTGGCGTCAGGAAAATATTGCCCGTGGTCCATCTCTCATCAGCTCAAGAGATTCCAGTCGGAAGGCGCTAAACCAGGGCTACTCGGCTGTGGAAGGCCGGACCAGCCAAAATTTGCGACGTGATCTGCCGTCTTCAAACTGGTGTGAGCCTGACGTCGACGTGTTTTGTGCGAAAGTTTTCTTCCTCTCTGGCCGGATCCGAGGACAATTCAGGTCTTTGCTTCAGCCAGCGTCATAATGAAACGGGCAGAGTTGAGGGCTTGTCGCGTAGTGCAGGTAATCCAAAAGGATCTCGTCCTTCCTATCCCGAATACCAAAAGACGAAGCACATCACGTTGCCTGGAGGGTTGAGTTTCGAACTTGTTCTATGATGGCGGGATGGCATTTCGCCGCTCCATCGGCCACGTCCTGACAGACTTACATTCGGTGGTTTCTCTGTGCTTGCGGGGAGCACCACAGGACCTACCCGGCAAACACTTTGCGATATCTTAACGTTCTTAGCATCGTTTCCGACATAAGACACCGAACAAACAATAACCGTTCATTGGTAGGAAGTTTCAACTCTACTGCCATGCCACCTGTATCTACCTTTGGGGTTGTTGGCCCCAAAGGTCGTCATCATCACGTCACCAAAAGCTGCGTTCACATAAGCACGACGAACGCAGGCTCGAAGGGATGTTCGGCTACGTTCAGGCTGATGTGCGCAATGCATCTGATCTAGCGTGTGGGCCACAACACAGATCAAGAGCAAAACATCCAAAACATTGTTCTCACCAATCGCAACGAAGTTCCTTAGAACTGGCAGAACATCAGCAGAACAGCAGAACAGCAGAATCACCACGGGACTCCGGGATGGCGAATAGTTTGTGGGCATCGGGTAGCATTGCTAGCGGGAATGAGCCCGTTCGATTCCACGCCGGCGCTGACGTCACGTGCGGCTTCTCGCCGCCCATTTGCCGCCCGGGGACTCCTTGCCAGTCCCGAGTTCTCGGTTCTCAGCAATCCCGAGTTCTCACGAAACCGCTGGCGTCCGCAGAGCGCGCGCGACGTGGTGCATGATCTCCGCGCCCTCCGTGTGCAGTCCGGGCCTTCGCATCCGGTCCGGGGCCTGAGTGCGGCCGCGCAGCCGCCGGCGTCAGCCGCGGCGGAGCACCGCCGAGCTGCCAGGCGGCCCCCTCGGCCTGGGACGCCGCTCAGTCCAGTCTCTGGCACAGACGGCGGCGCAGACGGCAGGCGGGACAGCAGATCGGCCGAGACTTGCTCTGGTCGGTGCCGACAGGCCGAGCGGGGATCCACGGCAGCAAATAGTAGGTGCCTCAGCCAGTCTCCCCTGACCCTTGCCGTGTGCGCTGTAACAGTATAGAAACGTTTGGAAACTGACTCGTCCATAGCCAACCCGGCGTAACGGTTCTTGGATTACATATGCAGTTGTGCCTACATTATTGCGGTTTTTGTGCATTTTGCAGTCGTATTTCCGGCCATATGTTGGCTTCGTTATTTTCAGCAGCGTGATTTAGTCATAAGCGGATGTAAAACTTCTCCTGCCAGTGTCAGTTGCTTCAAACGCGCGGCAAAATGTCCTGTCGACCGCACGAAGTTCTCTACCGACACTGGTCCGTTTTTAAATGTGTGCTGTATTGCCTCATGCCTGTGGTATGCTGCCCGCCTTGCACACTCCACTGATCTTGTCTGCCCAGTCGTATCGCCGCTGGCACTCGCTCGTCCAATATGTATGTGCCACCGCGACCCCACCGGCCAGATCCGGAGTGCCTGCGCTGTGGCTTACACCGCGCACACGGGGCTGACCGGTTGGTGCTGCGCTTTGCATGCTATCTCGTGCCCGATTTAGACCGTGTCACCGACTAGGTGTATCGCGCGGTTGCATGCGGGGCAGTTAGCCAGACTTGTGCTTGATTCCTTTTGGGCGGAATGAATTCCGATTCCGACTCGCAACGGCACATCAGTTTATTCACCGTGATGCCGAGGGGTTCAGCGCCCATTGGAACGGTCTCTCCTGATTGCGGTCCGAGCAGGAACAGTTCAAATGTGGAGCCGGTTCCAATGGCATCAATTAGGGTGCCAACAGTTGAGAAGATAGCCCGTTCTGTGAGCATTGCAGAAGCTTGCGTAGGACACACATTCGGGTATCAAGTCAACTGCATATACACGACTTCGATTCATCTTACGCTACGACTCGCAGGGAGGGCCAATGAGGATAAGTTCCACCTGACTCAACACGACGCGGGTCGATTCTAGAATAGACTGCCGACTCCACCTAAAGTTAATCACAAACGAGCATATAACATCCGCCTTGCCAGTAACGCTGAGCAAGCATATGCGGTCACAGTTCGCACATAAGCCTAAGATTGTCTGTGCCGTTGCGTTAGAAATTGATATACCGCTTTATTGGCACGGGCTCATGCGTCATTTGTGCCTGGCCGGCAGCAGGGAATGCTGTTATTGCCAACGTAGCAGACTTGTGCTCGACGCAGCGTACATTTGGCATCCAATGCGAGGTCGACCAAATTTTTGGCCGTGTTAAGTGAACTTAGATACTTTGAAAATGTGGTCAAGCTGGACCAGGATTTAACGAAACATCTTGCGCGAGATCTTCCATTAATTTGTTTCAAAATTACCTCTTTGATAACTAACGTTCGGAGTGCATTAAACGCACGGTATATTTTTCATTTTTTGCAAAATCAAATTGCTTGTGCCTCACCCATGTCCACGGGCCGCATTGGGTGCAAAACGGTCATAAACGGGGTCGATTTCATGGTAAATTATTTTGGAATCGAGTTACGCTCATGAGCCACGGCCCAACAGCCGTCTCCAGCTTGCTGTGACGTTGGCGTTAGACACAGGACTGATCTCATACGCTGGTATACGAATCCGAATCCATAATGCTGAAGAAAAGCCGAGCTCAGGCCTCGCGCATGCCACCACTGACGTCATAACATCACCATCATTACATCATCGCCATCACGACACTGAATCGCCATCATGACATCATCGTCATCATTACACCGCCCAGTCTCCGCACGTCAGCAATGCTGTCTGCACGGCTGCACACTCTGCTCACGCCCTCCCCCCCCCCCCCCCCTGCTTCTCTGCAGTGAGTCTGAGCGCAGAGGTCATGGAGCGGCTGCAGGACGAGTTCACCGCCGACCCCAAGAACCTACTGGCTCAGAACGTCTGCACCAGGGCCGACCCGCTGGAGGCGGCCCTCAGCCGGCGCGCGCTGGAGCGGATCAACCACGTGTTCCAGCACAGGGTGAGAGCTCTCGCGTTTCGCGTCTCGCGGCGCAGCGACGGCCGCAGCTGCGGCTAGAGTGTCGCACGTGCGATGACGCAGCTAGCGTAGTGGGGGTGAAGCCTGCAGGGGCACCCGCTCCGATACCAGATGGCTGTTTATGAGGATGGAGATGTTTGAAGTTGGCGTACCTAACGACAGCGATGCCATAAGATTGGGTACGGGGCTCTTTTTGCACACTCACTAACGCTGATTCACAGCATTGAATATCCTCCTGAAGAATATCGTCGTCAGCAAGAATATCGTCAGCGTTGCCCGGCTATGTGTGTGCATGTGCGTGTGCCTGTGGCTCAGAAAATTGTTAATCATCAGCACCACCAGGCTATCCCCGCGGTGTTTCAAACCTATTTGGCCGTCGGAAATCAAACAGCAACACCCAAGCAAAGAACGCGGCCTAGTGTCGCACCAGTTACTTTATTCGTAGAACTCCACAGTCCTACTCAATCCAGGCAAGTTCATATACATTTCGGCCGACCCTTGAACAGGATTCCGAACCACTGGATCTCCACGCAGGTTTGATCACGCATGGTCCGTGATTCTGATCCATAGGTCGGATAGACCAAGCCCTGCGCAGACCAGGTCGCCCTTGTGTCCTTGCCGCTGCCTTATCACTGTTACTGCTGTCTCTGTTAACAAGTTTCCGAACCACCTGATCTCCACGCAGGTTTGATCACGCTTAGCCCGTGATTCTGATCCACAGGTCGAAGAGGTCAAGCCCTGTACGGACCAGGTCGCCAGTGGTATATGCTGGATGTACGCCGGGATGAACGCCATGCGCATCCCCTTCATGAAGGCGTTCAACATCAAATCATTCGAGTTCAGCCAAAGCTACCTGTTCTTCTGGGACAAGGTTTGCCTCAACTGCAACGTGGAGTGGAAAGTCGATTCCATTTTCAGTCGAGTAGTGGATGTGTTGTGTAAATATGCCTCGGTGCGATCCCATCAGGCAAATGCCAAGAGAGACCGGCGTTTCTAGACGTCTCCGAGTATCTAGATAGGCATGTCTGGACATCTATGGATAGCTTGATAGACGTGTTTTCGCATGGATTGACTAATGCGAGACAGGTGGCTTTGGTCGGCACGTCAAGATAGCCTTCGTCCTTGACCATCCGGGTATGCACCGGGTACCATGATATCATGAGCTCAGTTCTTCGGTTTTTCGGTTCGGTTCAGTTCAGTTCAGTTCTTCGGCCAGCTCTAATGCCGGCTTGTCTGCCCACATGCTGTGGTGCTGCGGTAGGCCGCACTGACGGTCGCTGCGACAGGTGGAGCGGACCAACTTCTTCCTGCGTGCCATCGTGGACACGGCGAGACGGGGCGAGCCGGTCGACGGCAGGCTGGTCTCGTTCCTCCTGCAGGTACGCTGTCACGCCGGGTGTTGTGGGCGACCCGCAAACGTCCCCGTCAGCTGGCGGTCAGCGGCCGAGGTCCCCTCAGCTGGCGGTCAGCGGTCGAGGTCCCCTCAGCTGGCGGTTAAACCATCAGCTGGCGGTCAGCGGCCGAGGTCCCCGTCAGCTGGCGGTCAGCGGCCGAGGTCCCCTCAGCTGGCGGTCAGCGGCTGAGGTCCCCCCAGCTGGCGGTCAGTGACCGAGGTCGCCTCAGCTGGTGGTCAGCGGCCGAGGTCCCCTCAGCTGGCGGTCAGCGGCCGAGGTCCTCTCAGCTGGCGGTCAGCGGCTGAGGGTGGTTTCAGAGCCGTGCGACAACCAGAAGTGCGAAACACATGGTGGAATGCTAGAACCTGCGCGGACTGAAGCAAAACTTCATATCAAACGACCTTGACATCACAATGCGCAAGGTCTCCGACTCGATGCAGAGTGAGGCTAGGACGGTTTGTCGTCTACCACTCATGACATGACGGACTTTGCTAAACAGGATGTGTTTTCGTCTTTTGTCGCGGTTGTGTCACACATTGGTATTGCTCATTGCTTTCGGCTGGCAGCGCCCATTGGATGATGGCGGCCAGTGGGACATGCTGCTGAACCTCATCAACAAGTACGGCGTCATGCCGAAGTCCTGCTTCCCGAGCGCCCGCAGCACCGAGAGGTCCAGCTCCATGAACGGCGTCCTCATGAGCAAGGTGAAATGCCTTTCAATTGTTCTTAATGTCATCGCAGGCGGCTGATGGCGTTCGGAACAACAGGAACGTCATCGGCTTTCAGCAGTATGCCTTCACGTAAATCCGCACCATCAGTGGGTCGTAGTAAAGAACAGGGTCAGTGGGAGGCTTCCCGTGGCGCGGCGAGGTGCGGCAGCTCACGTCAGGGGTCACGTGCCCCCCGACAGGGAGGATCACCGACAGCAGCCGACCGCGTGCTGGCGTGGCGCGGTGGGGTACAAACCTCCTAGCATGATTTGGACCGCATGCTGGAGTAAAGTTGTCCGTTAGTTCGGCTTTCTGGTCAGACGGGACGGTGTTTAGAAAGCAAGATATTCTTAACGGGTTCCGATTTCAGTGAACCCGAGGCAAACGACTAAAGCAATGCAATTCATGATGAAATTGCATAAAAGCGGCCTACATGTCTAGTGCACCCGCACTCCCAGTTCGCGATGACAGCCGTGGCTGTTGTATTTCAGCTGCGCGAATTTGCGCGTGACTTGCGCCACCTGGTGGAGAAGGGCACCACCGATGAGGACCTGGAGGTGACGATCGCAGACCAGGTGGGCCAGATCCACCGCATCCTGGCCATCTGTCTGGGCCTACCGCCGCGCTCCTTCACCTGGGAGTACTACGACAGGGAGAAGGCCTACCATAAGGTCGGCCCTCTTTCGCCGCGCGATTTCTACGAGCGTCACGTCAAGCCGCACTTCAATGCCGAGGAGCAGGTGCGGTGGACGGATGGGAACGTGCGAGGACGAGCGCCACGGAACAGCGCACACGCCAGACGAACCTTCACCACACCCTGCAACAGCGCATGTTACCTGGAGCGCCCGGCTCAGCTACACAGGATTTGTGGATGTCTCGCACACACATGCACAGTGGTCCACCCAGCTACACAATCTCCTGACGGGGTGGACCCACGCACTCACCCACACCCACATTCTCACCCACACTTACGCCCACACTCACACTCACACTCACACTCACTCTCACACTCGCACTCGCACTCACACTCACACTCGCACTCGCACTCACACTCACACTCACACTCACACTCACACACTCGCACTCACACTCACACTGACACCCACACTCACACTCACACTCACTCACACTCACATTCACTCTCAATCTCACACTCACACTCACACTCACACTCATACTCACACTCACACTTACTCATACTCGCACCCACACTCACACCCACACTCACACTCACGGGACCGCTGGGTACACTGGCTTCGCAGCGTTTCTTTATTGACATTATCGCCACAGGGCTGGACTTTCCGGACTCTGCTTTGCAGCTCGCTAAAGCAAACAACTCATTGACCTCAACAAGCGCCCTATTGCTGTGAATGAAGGGCCGTTCATGCCCTACCAGCGTACTGGCTGCAGAATCCGCTGCAGATTTTGCAGCCAGTCAGCTGTTGTGGACCCACGGCCCGCGGCGGCAGGTGTGTCTGACCCACGACCCGCGGCCGGCAGGTGTGTCTTCCCGTGGCGTCAGGTGTGTTTGACCCATGGCACGTGGCAGGTGTGCCTACACGTGGCGTTAGGTGTGTCTGACCCACAACCCGCGGCCGACAGGTGTGTCTGACCCACGACCTGTGGCGTCAGGTGCGCAACCCACGATCCGTGGTGTCAGGTGTGTCTGACCTACGACCCACGGCTTACAGGTGTGTCTGACCCACGACTCACGGCTTACAGGTGTGTCTGACTCACGACCCGTGGCGTCAGGTGCGTCTGACCCACGACCCACGGCTTATAGGTGTGTCTGACCCACGACCCACGGCTTACAGGTGTGTCTGACCCACGACCCGCGGCCGGCCAACCCGAGCGGCGCCCTGTACACGGTCGACCGGCTGGGCAACATGGTGGGCGGCCGCGCCACCCTCTACAACAGCCAGCCGGTGGAGCTGCTGGCCAGGCTGGCGGCCGCCGCCATCGTGGACGGCAAGCCCGTCTGGTTCGGCTGCGAGGTCAGCCAGTTCTTCTCCATGAAGCTGGGCATCAACGACTGCAGCCTGTGAGTGTTCTCCGACTGCCGCCGCCCAGCGAGGTTTGGCGCCGTGTCCGTGTGTGCCAGTGCTGCTCTGGTATGTGCTCTTGCGGCAAATCGCTGGACGTGTTCTGCCTCCTGCACCGGTGCGCTGTCAGTCAGATTTTGCACACAGTGCGCGGTGAAAACTGACATGGGACCGCTTTGAATGATGTTTGTTTCCTGTTTCCGTTATTGGACAACGGCTACCGAGGTTCTTGAACCAAGCGCACTGTTCGGGCGGTGCCCAGCGTGATGGACTACGTTGCACTCAGGGTGACAAATGTCTCAGATACGACCACAAGGTGCTGTTTGGTGTGGACGTCACGCTTCCGTTGACCAAGGCGGAGCGTTTGACGTTTGGGGACACCATGATGGACCACGCCATGTGCCTGACCGGAGTTACCCTTGACGTGAGTCTTCAGTGGCGGTGCTTTTTTACAATGAGTGCAGTTTTAGAGAGAGTGAGTGCAGTGTCAGAGACCAGGATGTCATATATTTTTAATTACCCACTTCGAGAACGGCAAAAATGGAGCGACGGATTGCTTTGGTCCTGTAATGCATGTCAAGGAGGACATGTTTTACAACAACGCGATCGTCTCGTGTTCCAATCTAACGCGTTTCCCTTGGAAACACGCGAAACAGTGATTAGCAGCAAAGTTGCCATGTTCAGAGCGACCCATCTCGCCAGATCGGCACCACATGTCGCCAGTTTTGTTGCCAAGTTGGCGGATTCACGCCTGTGGCTCGCCGCCATTTTTCCAGCGGAATCAGCCACAGAATGCAGACAGACGCTGGAGGCGTCGTCCATGGAAATGAAATGAAAGAAAAATATTAGACGGAGTATAACTGCAACAGTATATGCCCGTTTGCTCAAATTTTTGAAACTGCCTCTTTCTGAGGGCACCTCAAAGGTCCCTTCAAGGTCCAAATCGACCCCATATATCTGTATGTCAAATACTTAGCTAAGAGTTCGTCGTCGGACATGCGCTAACTGATCAGCAGCGGTAATGTTCATTTTCACCGAACTCGCTAGTGCAACTTGCGACAGAAGCTCTTTTCAAGAGTCTGAGAACCGGCTGCAGGTAAAAGCAGGCTTAACCCACCAGTTCAGACTCAAGTGGAGTGGCAGATGTAATTTGGGCTCCGGACCAGTCACAACGTGCCTCTGATTTCCCCTTTAGACGCCAAAATTGTCCTGATGGGAAGGGGTATAATTATACAATTTCTTCAAGCTACTTAACCAAGGAAATGACGTGCTTTCTGCCTCAGCTGGTTAGAATGCGTGCCAATCGTGGCTAAAAAATATCAGTTGTCTTGGTTTGGACTTTTGAGTGATGGTTCAGTGTTTGTGCATACAATTTTTTAAGGCTCACCTAGAGAATTTGTCACAACGATGTTAAATCAGTTAATGCCAGCACGATTACACTAAACTTTGTGTAGGTACCAGTGAGATGAATGAGAGAGAGAGATGAAAGAGAATGAGATGGTACCAATGAAAACAGGACTTGACCAGGCATTGATAATCGGTCATGCTGTGTTTAGTTGGAAGTCCGCGTCTTAGCAAATTTGTATTACTTCCCATTTGTAAGAAAATCGCCATTTTTGCTTTTTTAAGGACAAAATGACACCATTTAAAATATCGTCTTGCCACGTCATCTCCGAGTATCGCCATTTTTGCGATATATCGTCAGCGCTGGCAATCCTGGGTGGCTGTGACTTGCGTTTGGCCCTTTCGCGATGCGGCACTGAACCGAACGTATGCGCGGGCTGTGGTGATTTGGTCTCCGCTGGGTTCAACCATACCGTAATATAACACACTACTTCTAGGACTTGGAGTTAGGCGTTGGAACGAGAGCGCTCCAGATCTTTCGTGACTTGCGTAAGCCCTTCCACAGGAAGATGGAAAACCACTGAAGTGGCGTGTGGAGAACTCATGGGGAGAGAAGGATGGAGACAAAGGCTACATGGTCATGTCTCATAGCTGGTTCGAGGAGTTTGTCTTCGAGGTAGGTTCGAGGAGCCTGTCTTCGAGGTAGGCTCGAGGAGCTTGTCTTCGAGGTAGGCTCGAGGAGTTTGTCTTCGAGGTAGGTTCGAGAAGTTTGTCTTCGAGGTAGGATCGAAGAGCTTGTCTTCGAGATAGGTTCGAGGAGCCCGTCTTTGAGGTGGGTTCGAGGAACCTGTCTTCAAGGTAAGTCTGAACTGATGTTTGAGTGATCGCATACTTAACATGAGAACGCAACGTTGGGCTAATGCTCATTTGTACTGCGAGTAAGACAAAAGTCGACGACTTAGACGGTCACTGACCCCCCCCCCCCCCCCCAGAATTACCTTGAACGCTAAAGAAACAATTGCATCAATGAAATCACTCCACTTTCCCACAGATCCTACGATTATAGGACGTACTTAACCTCGATGCGTAAGCGTGAATCAACTGCATTATTTTCATGTGTGAACAAGAATCGCAGTGGTTTACGGGACGGATGCTTGTACGTGGTGGTGATTTCCTTAAGTTCAGGTTTGCGGTGTCGCCGACAGGTGGTGGTAGACAAGAAGTTTGTCCCGGAGGATGTGATGGCGGTGTTCGATCAGGAGCCGATCGTGCTGCCCGCCTGGGATCCCCTCGGAGCCTTGGCACGTGTCAGATCCAACTGATGGCAGCTGACAGGCCATAGCGAACGCAGCCGACAGCCACAGCTAGCTGTGGGCGGTAGCGTCTTCAAACTATGTGCAATGTGCAAACTTCATCAACAAGCATGGTGCTGCCTGCATATTTGTGATAGGCCATGTATGCATGCTTCAAAATAGATGGATGCGAGGATCGGCTATGTATTCATTGCATGATCTGCAGGATCGAGACCACCACAAAGTTTTCGTTCAAATTTATCTGTACACTTACCTGTTCCAGAACGAGACACGAATAATTATTCCATTAAATATACCTGGTTGACTCCAACAGTGTGCACTTACGGCGAAATTGTAACTGGCCATGATTTGTTCGAATGACCTTACCGTGGGACCATAGCCTGTAGTAGAAAGGACGTTTGAAAGGACCAAGGATCAAGCCAGTGTCATCACGTAAGTATCACCGTCCCCGGTGCGGTCATGCTTAGTACAAAACATGATATCATTATTTTAGAGTGATGGGTGAATGGTGTGATGTTTGTATATATATATATATATATATATATATATATATATATATATACAAACATATATATACATATATACAAACATATATATATATATATATATATATATATATATATATATATATATATGCTAGGGGTTGTTCTCACACGTGTACATTACTATACATGATGCGGACTTAAATATGATTATTTTATGTTGATAGGGGGCTATTTTTTGTTCAGCCACTACAGTTGAAGCGGAATATAGTTATCTTACTGTTTTGAAGCTTGGCGATACTCTTTGGCAGATAAGGTAGAAAATTTGGCTTTTGGAAAATATTGTCAAGCTGCAAAGTAGCCAGAGAAGTAAGGCCAACCAAAGCTGGAGCGGCTGAACAAAAAAAAAAAACCGCACAAACGTCGTAGTTATCAAACCTAATCATGATTATTGTTATGTGAATATGAGGCGCTCAGTGAGCGAACGAGTCCCCCATAGCGCTATATAGCATCCTTTTACTCGATGAAATATGCCTCCTGAACAAGTGACCAAGGGCAGTGCTGATCCATTTTCCGACATATGTAAAACATACAGTGTTCTCAAGTTACAACCTTCAGATCATTCACGTCGCAGTATAGCTGCACCATGGCATCCCATCGCAATGGCCTGAAAGCAATATTCAGATATGGCAGCCAGCCATGGTCTAAGCCGGTCCCAATGACCCGTTCGATGCATTATGATCTCGAAGCATGCCGCGGGATGAAACACGTGCGGTATTTGATGGCTCAGCTGTAAGGTATGCGCTAGGCTGCGGAGCGCCTTTTCTCCACTTTGTTTCGTACATTTATTGCTGGACCAATTGTATTGACCTGGGAAGCCGACCTGCTCGTAGATCAAAGATAGTTGCTAGCCACCTAATCCCGGATGAAAGACAGGTGAGTGGACAAGAAGCTTTAATGTGGTCGTCTTCGATGTCCGGTTCTTTGGCGCCATCAGAAGACCTGCACGGGAATTGTGGCTGTGCTCACCTCTCGTCGAGCACAGCCACCTCGCTCATTTCGGCTTTCTTGGTGTGGCGGGATAAGGTTTGCGAAGTCATTTGTGGCCCGGCCAAAACACGCCCGCTGAAGTCAATCTGCTGTCGCTAATGACCAAATCAGCTGCAGGCTCGACGCGATGATTACCAACCGCATTTTCTCGCGGGGTTGCACGGCGCGTAATTAACGCAGCATTCGTAAAAGAATTAAGGCAGCATGCGTAAAAGATGGCGCCGTAATTAGAGTTTGAGCGGGCGTGGAGAGACGGCAGTTTTCCTGTCACAGAACGGGCGGCTGCTGTCACACCTCATGGCAAGTAAAATGCCGAGACTCCGAACCTAATACGATTTTTGTAACGGACATAAACTTACGAAATTTGTGCCGTTTTTTGTCCTTTCGCCCAAAAGACAGCACATTCGGTAGTTCTCCCAGCGCAAAGCTGCAACCAGAACCCGCCACAGCCTCAAAAAGGTGTCGTGAAAAAGGCCACATTACAATCGTTTTCGGGTTCTTCTATGAACGCTCTGATGCCTTTTGAGACCATTTATTTTCAACACATTTTCCTGTCTCTTTTTAAGGCAAAACACTGTATACTATATTTGCCTGTTAGATCACTTGTCGTCATTCCTTGTCTTCCTCGGACATTGCCTATGGTTGCGAAAGGTTTTATGGGGTCGTAGCGTTCTCATCAGGCAACGACAGTTTCTAATACGCTGCATGTCCAGTCTTCATTTACATGTCAAAGTTTGCCGGAGCACTCACGTTCAGGAGGCGAATGGTTGCTTCTATTCCCCTGGGGCCATTCCTCAACACATTTTTATTTCCGGAGTCGACAGGTGGGTAATGAACGCGTGCGTCGCCGGCAAGTCTCGCGTGACAAATTACAAAAGCATGTTGATGTGAATGTGTCAGCGATCGTGTTATCCAAAGCTGCTGGTGATCGATTTCACTCAGCGCCACCGCCTGTTGGCGTGACAGGGAATGCCAGTGGGCGCGGCAAGGGCGCTGACGTCACAAAACGCAGAGTCGCACGTCCAATCAGAAGCTCTGCGGGTTACTTTGCGTTAAAAGTGACGTCATGTTTAGGCCTGAGAATCTTGCGGGACATGATTACGGAGAAACGCGTAGTGGAACCGACTTGACTCTCATTATGATTAGCTCGTTTGCTGACGATAGCAAGTGCACTTTTTCACTAAATAGCGTTCCAGTACGCATTCCTTTTGGTTTTATGTTTAACCTGATAAAAAGCTTGTTTCAATTACTAGAAGCTTCATAAATTGCGTTACGCTTGGGGGATGTGTCGTTTAATGCAGCGTAGCCGAAGCGTAACAAAGATATGGGACTTGGAAATCGTAACCTTATGCTCAAATGTGATGTTAGATCAGGCTGAAATCTTTTAAAATGTTTTAACATTAAAGCTGGACACCAGTCATGACCAGGAGAAGAGGGTTCAAACAACCTATTATCTGCAACGTTTTGACATTGATTATTTCTTCTAGTAGTAATTAGTTGCAACGATATGGACGGCCTATTAGCAGCTGTTACGACTACTGAGGCTAAACGGCGCTGTTTGTACGCCAGTATCACAAGCTTATGGCATTGGTTGTATCGTATTCTTATTGCACGTGACATAGTTATTGTGGCTTTGTGCTGCATAATCTGGCTCGCATCCCATCCAGGATTACACTGAATGCTCCTTGGCAGACTGGTCTCTTGATTTGCCATATTACCATTAACGTACTTTTCCAATGTGCAGCTTGTAGACTGGTTGTTCTCTCCTCTACTATTAATACTGTTTCCTATAACTGTCACTGCAAGGCACATACTACCACGTATGCCGATCCAGCCTCCCCCCCTCCCCCCCCCAGCACCCTCAGCTACCTCATCTGAACTGCTCAATTTCGCCGCGCGACTGGGCGGCCACGTCCTTAGTCACGTGCCCTGGGAGACAAATGGAAGCTGTTGGCGGAAACGGGGCGACTATTGCGCTACGCACGCCACTAGCGACAGAGTCGAATGACGAGACACGCAGACGATATCGACGCAGACGACGATGGCGGCGCACAGATTTGTCCTTTCTCTGGGACTCTAATAGTATGTGGCCCCCTGATCTCATCCCGTGAACCTGGACCGCAAAATAAATATTGGAATGCCAAAAGTGCGCTATGTGGACATCGAAATTCGGCCATGACTTTCTGAAGAATTATAATGCATCACAGTCACATTTCAGGACAAAATGGATGTTTATGCCACGCTTTTATTACAAGCACTTGCCCATGCCGGTAAGGCTATTGGTAGTCAACTAGAAATGACAAGCGAAGTCGACTGCTGAGTAAGTCCTTCTTGGACTATGGTAAAGTTTCAGCTTTATCTGTCCGGCACGACTGTCATGGTTTCCGGAACCAATATATATCTTCATACCAATATTCTCATGCCAGATATTTAGCGTTCTTCTATCCTCTGAATGACGCAGATTTATCAATATATCTGCATCCTGCGAGCGTTTCAAAAAGTCGCATGGACGATAAAACTCGAGGACGAGGATAGAAAATGTGCCAAGCTATGTTAGGGGTGCATAATATATCCGTCTTGTGAGAGCCCTAGGAAACGAAGCTCTTCAATTGTTTGCTTTTCAGACATCGCTCAACGGAGACATGTGATCTCACTCGGGGCACCTGGAAACGTTCAATATATCTTTGCCACCACTTCTTGTCGACCCATGCAGTTGTCAACAGCACTGAGCGCGACTCTATGCAGTTTGTGCCGAAAAGGTGTTTTGCATTGACGCCCAACCTATCCAGTGGAATGACAGCTCCTGCAGTATTGCAAAATCACTACGACTCCACCTGCTCCATTGCACTGACATGGAACAGGTGCAGTTTTCGAATTACGAAAACCTGAAGAGCATCGGTCGAAACCGACTTAAATCTGGACGACCCAATGTCTCAGCAATGTGTCCCAGCATCTTCTCAAGACGTAGAGGTCAAACAATCGTATAGGCAAGCGTGTAGGTCTGTGTGTGCATAGGATCACGCGCTCTCATGCGAAACCCACCGAGATGCGGCGATGGTAATGTAACGTGAGACACAACAATTATAAGTGACAGATCAACCAACGCTAAACACAGCAACCCGAGCAAATGATAGCATTCCAAACAACAGTCGTGTAATGTCACAAATAGGCTCAGGCGATACCATCTCACACCTTGGAACGAGAGGGCGGGTACGTCAGCTTGAACCGGCTGGACTCCAAAGCGCCATGAAACAACAGTTGTACAGTAACGGTTGTGGCGTTGCTTGACTCCGTTTGACTCTGACCCGACAGATCATCCGTAGGAGCCGTCAGATGAGCCAAACACGGGGTACTCATCACGCACCCACTGTGCCCATTTTTGGCCCGACGCCTTGGGTGTGGAATCTCAACACTGGGAATCAAACCAGCCGTTCGAAGTAAAGTCTCAGGCCAATAAGATCAGCTGCGACTTAACACACTTAATGAAGGCGATCTGCTGACGCTCTTCCATGGAGCGATCAGGATATCTGTCCTCTGCTGGAAAAGCTTTCAACGGGAGAGAGCGAAACTGTGTCAGAATTTAAGCTTAAGCTGGCTGACGTGCTCACTTAATTTAGCACATCATTGACGAATTTACTTCGTCTTGCACCCGTAGAAACTGTGGCTTTGAAACAAACCAGATTGCATCCGTAGGGGTCTGAGTACGTTGCTGTACCTGTCTCTTCACTTACGGCCCATTTAGGGCATGCGTCTGCAGCTATATCTTGAGTGCTCATAAGCGGCGTTCTTTAGTACACACGGGCACTCGGATGGTATTAAGCCAGAATCTTGCATGGCAGGCGATGTGAAGTCTCATCCATGAAATAAATGAAATACATGCTTGGCTTCCATGATAAAGATGGCACTGTATCATTTTCTAATATCGAGGAGATACTCTCGAGTTTAAATATCGATGA